AACACTCCTTTCCCTGGACGTTAACAAGTCGAGTGGGCCTGATGGAGTCTCTCCTATGGTTCTGAAGATGTTTGCTCTGGAGTTGACACTGTCTACGTGACGCGTCTTTTCTGGTACTTCTACTCCAGTAAAGTCCAAGTACCTTCCCTTTAGCCGTAAGTTAGACATAGCGAAAACCTACGATCTGGTTTAGCATAAAGCGCTTATTTTCGAAGCTTCCTTCTTATGGGCTTCCCGAGAAATTTATTTATTTATTCTTTTTTGTACACCACAATACAGAAACATCAAGTACAGTTAAAACTAAATTAAAGTATGTACAATAGGCGGTCTAATCATTCTGAAAGTGATTTCTTCCAGACAACCTATGCGTAGAGGAATGATGCAAACAAAAGTTAAAATGGAGGGGGGCATACAAAATAATAATAAAAAAAATAAAGATAAGTGAAAATTATATATAAAATATCATATAATAGATTAAATTAAAAGAGTACTAGAAAGGTAAAGTAATTTATCTAATAGCGTTCTAAATAATACGATTTAATAAGACTTTTTAAAGAGTGAAGAGATTTAGCACGACGAATATGGAGATGTAAGGAGTTCCACAATCGCACAGTAGTTACGGTGAAGGATTTCTTGAAAAAGGAAGAAGAGTGCAAAGGTGTAGAGAGAGAGAAAGATTGACGGAGGATCGAAGGAACCGATTATGGGTAAGAGAAAGATACTGGAAACGGTTTTTTAAATAAAGAGGAGTGGAAGGATTAAACAGCACACTATACAACGCGGAGAGAATGTGAGTATTCCTGCGAAGGTGGATCGGGAGCCATTTGAGCTGTTTGCAAAATTCGGAGATATGATCATATTTGCGAAGCCCGAATATAAATCTAATGCATAAATTTTAAATGCGCTCAAGCTCATTAAGCTGCTCCTCGGTAATGTCAAGATAGCAAATATCAGCATAGTCGAGGATAGGCAAAAGTAGAGACTGGGCGAGCGTAAATTAATAACTTTAGTTGCTGTGGGAAGAAAATTACGTAATCTACGTAAAGAGCTTAACGCAGCAAACATTTTTCTACTGACCTCATTAACCTGTGAGGTCCAAGACATACAGGAGTCAAGATACAACCCCAGGTTTTTAACCTTGTTACTGTAAGGGATTAGAGTGCAGTCAAGTATAATAGGGGGTAGGGAAGACCAGTCAATTTTACCAATTAAAGAAATTGTACAATTCGAGCAAATTTCCTTGCAGATCGAAGCATGAAGGTCAGACTAGACGTTGCAGGCTTCGATTACATGCCTAATTATGGTGTTCCACAATATTATTTCTTCTGCATTACGATGATAAGTTGCAAACCGGTAACATTCATTGATATGTGGACGACAGCACTGCTGATGCTTTTTACACCAGCCATGCATATTGCTCCGGCACACGTCGTCGAGTGCCGGAGGAATCTTTAATCTGTAGTTAAAGCCTTTATAAAACGAAGTCTCAGATTCGGGACGACGAAATCTATCTAGTCCAGTTTAACCCTCAGAAGACACAGGTTTGCGCGTTTACCGCTAATAAAACCTCTTTGTCGTATCTCGTCAATTACAGGGCACTCCCCTTCTGCCTCAGCCGACATCAAATTCCTCAGCGTCGACATATCGAATGAAATACAATTCCGCGGTCACTTGGAAGGGTAGGCGAAATTGACCTCAAAAAATTTGGCGTGCTCGGCAGAGTGAGATAGTATTCCATGCCGGCACACCGCACATAATAGCTCTTCAAACCGGACGGAACACATCAATTTATTTCATTACACGCAAATTAGGTAATTTCTAACAACTTCAATATAGTGACTTTCCGCAAAGTAAAGCTCTTTCTGATCGGCTGTGGACACTTACCATCAGACGAGTATCATGCTAGATTATTCCCTCTTCTATAAAAAAGACTGTGTGGCATTCCATCTTAGTCATCAGTGGTAACAATGCTTCTGTCTGTATCCTTCTTTGTTTGAAGTTGGTTCCAGGTGTCCATGGACTGCAACGGTCACTTACCATCACGAGGACTGTAAGTCGGTTTGTCACTTCATTTGTATTAAAATAAGCTTACCCATACCTACACGTCAAAGATATTAAATATATTTCAAACAAGTGATATGTGAAGTCTACAATGCACATTTAGCCAATCTCTCCATGAAATGAAAAGAAGCTTATGCCAAACCATGGGGCGTATGCAGTCTATAACTTGACTAAACCCATATAAAATTATTAAATGTTACATAACATATATTACATAAACACTCATGCCTGTCACCCAGAGGGGTAGTCAGAGACTACGGACTTCCATTTGGCACAATCCTGACACACCTCTCTCTTAAATCCTTTACATCAACAGAAATCGTAATAATAAGACAGTAGAAGTTGCATAGACACGTGAACTTGTCGCCGCTTACATGGGTTTACGAACACAATTCACCATTTTGCGATTTAGTTGTGCGGGGAACGTCGTACATGAATTTTTGTTATATAAATTTATAATGGTGCACTGCAGCATAATCAGTTGTAAAAACTCATTAAGGACGTGTAATTAAACTAATAAAGACATAACATTTCATCGGTAAGTTGATTATTTACTAATTATCATTGTTTTAATTAATTTACATCTAGATGAATACTTTACAATGACATTTACCTTTGCAAACTCATTTATTGCTTTTCGTATTGTACAATTACCATTGCTGCTTTTGTTCTACCGTAATACGCGACACACGCGACGTTGACAAACTCGCCAAGCAATGTAATGTGAAACTTTAGATATCATTGTGCATTGCGTATGTTTATAATATTGTAAGATGTGGCAATATCGGTTTTGGAAGTAATCGAGCGCTACTTCATTGCTATTGTCTTATTATTACGATTTCTGTGTTTACATCCATATACTATTATTAAATATTGAAAGATGAAATTTAGATATAGTAAAATTGGCACGTTGTGCTACAATTTATTTCCTGAAAGGTTGTATAACTTGTGGAAATAAATTTGTTCTATAGCCCACTTAAAAAAAATTAAATTATAAGCTATCAATCAATGTCACTATCATTTAGGAAAATATATATATCTTAAGCCTAATTATAGCACAGCTCTGAAGTATCAACCTGACAGTAAGATACAAAGGTATACACATAGATAAGTCTGCATCTTTTATCTAATCAACATGCTACAGATACACATAACACAATGTGTTCATATCTATTCATTCTTTTTACAACAGCTTGACCTCTGTATATTTATATATGTACAAATGTAATGGAATTACTAAATTAGTAAAATTTTCTCCCACTTCCAAACATCTGAATAATCGGAAATTTTGTAGACAAATTAAATAACAATAAATTCATAACTATGAACTAGTATCCCCATTAACTAATGACCGATTTAGTTTTCACCCACTTCCAGATGTCTGTATAATCTAAAATTGATGATGATACAATAATTTCACAACTACAACCTAATATTATTACTAAGATCATCACAACTCATGATCAATGAATTTTTATATAGTGTTTAAAATCCAATTTTGTTGTAATTTTAGTTAGTATATTTATTAGTATTATTACTTTTTTTGTAGTAATAACTATCAGTCTTAGAAAATTAACCAGTTATGGTTGATCATAAAAATAAGTACTATTGAGTAACTTTAAATAGTAAGAACAAACTCTGCTCACTTCAGTAGTAATTCTGCAGTCTTACATACATAATAATATCAGTGAGTTGCTTTTGCATAAACTCAAGGTGCATTTAAAAGCATTCAAGTGAAAAAAGTAGAATACTTGGACATAATAAGCTTACTTAACTATTATTGTTCAGTATTTTTCGTAATTGCTGTGCAGACATAGTCTACTTGAGAATTTTTTGCTGCTTTCTCTCACAAGATTTCCTGCATTGAGGGCTTTATTTTTAATTTATAATCTAATATAGAAAAATTATATATTTAATTATTCTAATATACTAACTATTCAATAGCTTTGAATGATGGAGTAGTTTTTTTTTACTAAATAGTGCTTGGTAAAGGTCAATTTAGAATAAAAATATATGACTTTAACTTCTATAACTCTGAAACTTGGCTTGTAATGATGATAATCTTTACCAGCCTTTTTAAGCCCTCTGACAGACATAGCCATACCTAGATTGCATCAACTTGCAGGCATTACTCGTTATATTTGCCCAAATTAATTATCCTGGGTAAATTCTTTGTTGGAGAAGACCTCAAACCCTGACACTACTAATACTACTTGTCTTCACCGGTGTATGAAATTGGCGTTCAACATGTTGGAATGGAAAATTCAACATCAATCAGTCACCAGAGCCTAATTACAGTGTGCACTATGTACTATAAAGATTGGTGTTTGAAGAAAAATATGGAAGAAGGCAGATTACACTTCTTATAACAATATGAAGTATTATGATGATTCAGTATAAAAGGTAATGGGTAATATTTATAATCTGTGCAAAATTCATATGGTGCAGGCAACTAATGTGACAGTCATTCTACAAGTCCTAATTGTTGGTGTATTGATGTGGTTGCAGTGATTCTTATGGTACAAGTACCTTGTGTCACATTGACATAAGCAGTGTTGCTTTGGATATGCAGACTTAATCTGTTTTGGTGTTATATTGTAACTAAATTCATCATGTTACACTAATGTGTAATTATGATTGGGACATATTACAGTATGGTTGAATTGTAACTGTTCTATACTGAATGTATTGTTCAATAAGCTGCTTTATTGCTGATCTAAAATCTGCTCTAAAACAATTATTTTAAAATAATGTGATATATTTCTGATATCATATAAGAATTTTATTTTATTTTGTATAGGCATAAAATGTAACATCTAATTATCTATAAACAAATATTTGTATATTTATAGATTCCTAAAAAGAAGAAAATATAATGCACAATTTTGAAAGTGTTTATTAAACACAATAAACATTGATCAAAAACAGGTAACACTCACATGAGTTGTTGCAGCGGTATGTATGAGTGGTGTTGGTTCAAAAATGCAGACTTCTGCTCCATATGCAGCAGCGATTTTTCCTGTATCTGTACTACAGTCTAAAGAACTGATGCGAACATAGCCATGGATGGCACCTGGTATTATCTGGACCCTTTCAAAGTTTGATGCAAGTATTACTATGTTGCATCCTGCTGCATATGCCTGTAAACAAAACATATAATAAAATACTTATTAAAGTGAAACTTCTTTATTAACATAGTGGAGATATTTAGTATGTTTTCTTATAATGTTTCCTTGCAACGTTTCACCTCTGGGGTTGCACAAGTATACTATAATTTTACTTACTTATGTAAAATATAAAATAAAATAAGAATGATATTTCTTAAAAAATTTCACTTTGTATGTATGTACACAATTATATGCACAATTTTCTTATAAGATATTAATTAATACATATATTGTATATTTACATTTAAAGTTTATTACATATATTTTTAAAACATAAATCATTTTTGGTCTTAAACAAATTCACAATGTATTTACTTATAAAATTGCCAAAATATATTTTGATTTGAGGTGGGATAAAAAGAATGATGATCTTATAATATGTAAGAATATTAATATTTAAATTTTACTATTAAAATAACAAAATATTTTGTAACAGTAATATTCACTAGATAAAGCTGTTTAGGCTTAATAAATAGTTTCTTAGAGTAGTTGTGTGATTAAATGTTGTAATTGAAAATGTGTAATTGAATTGAATTGAAGTAAACATTGAATAAAAATTATATGTATATATTAAATATATATCATTACTATAATTTCGTTTCTCTCATTATTCCTTTTTATCAATCTCTAACAATCCACTAGACAGAGGCAATACTCAGGATTTTCCATAATTGAATTTGCAATTATAAATTTGTTGCAAATAAATTGATTACTTACTTTAAAATAGATAAACATACTATCAATCAAAGTACCTATATGAACAATTTATATATTACCTTACCTATAATATGCCTTACCTATAATAGCCTAAAATTTTAAATTACCATAATAATATGAAAACACGTTTATATTTAAATAATATGCTACTAGTTCTTTGTGAAATGAATTCAAAGTGTCACATGATTGTCAAGAATTTGTGAAATACATTCTATCATATTATTAACCACTCAATCTTTACTCGATGTTAAGTAGGAAAAAAAAATTGTTTAATAAATTTATGATAATTTGAAAATCTTAAAATACTTATTATGTGAGTTATGTGATATTTATAGAATGGCTGAAAATATTGAAAATAAACTAATTGTTAAGTGTTATCTAGTGCCATAGTGTTTGAACACCTGAGCTATTCAAAATAATTTTTAAGGAATTTTTTAGTTATGATAATTCAAATCAAAAGCATAATAATGTACATATAATCATAAGATCGTACTGACTGCAGTGCGTTATGATTTTATAAGAAAACTGTTTGAAGTCTTATCAAACTAAGCTAAATTAGATTTTCCTGTTAGGACCATTACTTCCCAATTACCACTTTAGAGCGATGAGCATCCTTCGTCACGTGACTTATCTACAACTATTCGCAAAATATTCGAAATATGCACTTACTGTAAATGGTACTCCCTCAACAGAACCTACAGCAAAACATTGATCTCCTGAATTACAGGCACCACTTAGTACTTGGTGACAGTTCATATTGAAGAATTTTAAGTTTTTTTGCTAAACTTTTTCCAAGGAACTGCACAACACTAACATCTTTTTAATAAAAATACCACATAATTAAAACAGATATATTCCAACATTTTAGATTGCTTTTTGTCAGTAAGATCTAAAATCACGAATATTTTACTATGACACTACACATTGAACGTGAGAGAATGACGTATTACTGCAAGAAAAGGATAGTTAGATTATGCGGTTCTTTTTCATTTTTCATTACGTTCATAATTCATATTTGATATTTGATTGGATTTATTTATCTATGATTCGTACTATGAAAAAGTTAATAATTTCCATTATGTATGGATACTATATTTTCAAATATACATAATTTGTGTCATATTTTATACTATTATTGATAATATATATGCATATTATGTAATGGACATTGACTAGTTTTAAAATCGATATAAAAAGGGTAGCAAGATGCAATTTGATATTTAACAATTTTCAGTTTTATAAGTATAATTTAATAAGAATTTCTAGCGCATGTTTGATCTGCATTATCTGCTCAACTAACAAACAGTAGAGTTTTGGCGGAATTTGAACGTACGCAAATTGTTGCTCCTGCTTTACGTTTAAATAAAGGTTTGAAGTGGATTTTAAAACGTAAAATTTGTTGTGTATTAAGTGTCTGCACCAGTGAACTATTAAAGAAAATGACAAAACAAGTGCTTCGATGTTAATATAAGCCTCACTTTATTTAGATCGCTTTGGCGCCTTAATGCCTCAGGTGAGGGTAGCTGACGTCAAATCCCCCGAAAAACTTCGTATCGTGACGCATCAGCATATAATGAAGAAAAAATCCATAAAAACGAAGATCCCGAATAAAATAAAGATATGGCTTATAAGACATGCATCCAAGATTCAAGTCAAAAATATTAATAAAAAAACAAAAGAGTGCTGCAAGCACGAAGTTATAGAGCCAATTTAGAAGTTAGGTAATTTTTAATTTCAGTAATCAGAGTCAGAATGATACATTGCATTTAGCGACTGGTCATAATTTCAAATTTCTTAGAAAATAAGCGATTGTAAAAGAAATTCCATGATTTTATCAAAAAGATTTTGCCCTTTGCTTTTTTGAGTAAATTTGTGTATTCTTTTTAACTTCCCGCTAAGACAATTGAAAATTTTCAAAAATATTGAAGTTATTGGTTTCACCCTGATTTTTAAAAATCGATTTTTCATTAGATCTTGACGTTTTGAGATCTCAGTAGGAAATAGATTTGGTGGTAATATGAACTGATTCGAACAAGTACATTTTGAGAAATCTCAAAAATAAAAATTATGAAAAACTGTTTTCTTTGGAATAACTTTTAAACGGCTTTACCAATCGATTTTAAGCTAATCAGCTCTTAACCTCAAAAATGACGTCAAATGCCGTTTAGAAAATAAAAATCGATTAATTCTTTCGTGAGATATCGAAGGAGAAAGAATTTGAGAAAAAAAAAGTTTTTTTTTAACATAACTTCAAGATTTCGCAACATAATTTGGTGAAATTTGGAGCGCTTTGCATTTGAAATTAGCGGGAAGTTCCGGGCATGGCCTGCAGGGTCAACCAATTTTTCATTCTAATAAATGTTTTTTCGTAGACGCTCTCAATCCTTCTTCCAACCACAGGCATTATTTGCTTAAATGAAGGTTCCAATCTACTAGTATAGGCACGTACTTTTTAAAACGAAACAAAATTTATTTATTATTAATCCTATATTTACTACTATGTGAGTTATTCTGGATATCCATCCATTCATTACAGCCTATAAAAGTCCACTGCTGAACATAGGACTAGGTTTTATGTCACACGTCGCATCAGATTTAAATCAACACTGACAAACCGCGATTCTGGGTGTCAGCTCACTAATCACAAAACCACGGTTTTGCAATGATTTACCAACTTAATTGGCTTTAACTTTTACTTATTATAATCAACTGAAGCGGTCAGTCGGTGAACCATCAAGTCAAGATTGCGGTAAAGCTTACCCTTCAGTTAGGATGGGAGGCTGCTTGAAAGAAATCACTGAAAATTTTTGAGTATTCAAAATACTCAAAGCTGAAAATAAATGGGTGACTAGGCTATAAAGAACACAAAATTTTTGGTGACTTGGGCTAAACTAAATAGCTAGATTTGGCAACCCTGCTGCCAAATGCCAATTTAATCTGTCTAATATCTGTCAATAGTTGATGTATGTTTGATTTGATTACTGAATGAAATTGTTTTTGTGTATCAATAATAGTCAAATCAAATTATAAAATAATCAAGATTGTTTGAAAACCTTCATAAACATTTATAGTATTTAATTTGTGAGTTCCTTTAATATTTGTGAAATTACGGTTTCCGTCGTGAGTGGTTATAGGTAAGACCGTTGGATTAAAAATTGTTGCCAATATTATTATTATTTTTTTAAATATAAGAATCAACTGTTTCTTCTTCTTCAAATTATTCATAAATAATGTCAATTTTTCATTAGTCACGGATTATGTTATTAGATCTATCATATCGTCATAATAACGGTTGCCAACTGCTGAGTCTTCAAAAATGCTGAAGATTGCAATGTTTAAGTGTATTGTGTTACAGTACGTCTATTTTTTATTTTAATTATGTCTTATATTTTTTGGTTTAATTAGATCTTTAATTTTTAGTTTTTAAATTATTTGTTCCCTCCTTTCATTTTTGAAGATTTATACTTATATCAGTTATCGGAAATAATATGTATTATAAGGATCCGACTGTACACCAACAGCAACTTTAGAGGCTATACTGGAGCTTACTCCGCTTCATCTACACATACAATAAGAAGCAACTTTAGCTGCCATTAGATTCAAGACCCACAATCTTTTGAACAAGAGTAGAGTCCCTCATACAGGTATCATTGATAGAATTTACTCAAAAACTCCTATCTTACAAGTCAAGTATGATAAGATCCCAAAACAATTTGTTTTTGATAAGAAGTATAAGATACAATCAAATGAAACTGTCCAGCTGGAGGGATTAAACCCAAAAGAGCTTAGAGTTTTCACAGATGGTTCTAAAACAGATGAAGGTGTAAGATCTGGAACTTTCTCTAAAGACCTTAATATCCACATATGTACACCACTGGGTACCAATAACATAGTCTTTCAGGTGGAATGTATGGGTATTGTCAAAAGCGGCCTTAGTAATATGTGCTAGTAAGTTAAAAGACTTCTCTATCAGAATACTTATTGACAGTATGGTGGTACTACAAGATCTGAGTTGTAATGTGGTGAATTCGGGAGTCATATATGAATGCCATCAACAATTAAATGAGATATGTAAGCACAACAATTTTACTGTGCAATGGATTAAGAGACATAGTGGATCCAGAGGCAACGATGCAGCAGAAAAACTGGCCAGAAAGGGATCGACTGGCCACTATAGTGCCAGAACCAATAATACCAATCCCCTTTGGTTATATCCGTTCACTGGTATGTAGAAAGTTCAAAAATCTACACGCTCAGCTTTGGAAAAATCTAGTAGACTGTAGACAAGCTAGGGAGGCCCTGCTGGAAATAAACCGTCATTTAACCAAGGTTCTAATGAGACTGAACAAGCCACAAACCAGGAAAACAACATCTATCTATCTGTGCTATCACAGGACATGGCACTTTAACAAACATTTATTTACCATAGGTGTTTTGGAATACAATCTAATATTGTTACTAGGAATATGCTGTTGCCTACACCCGTTTGCTTCCCTCTGTCACACTCTACCCACGGGATATGGGGTAGTGGTTATTTTTACATCGCTACTATACATTCTTGTCTTAGTAGAGCTTGTAAATAACTCCTGAACCTAAAAGAAGCCAGTTACTTCTGTATTATATACAGATACTTGTAATTTTACCTATATGTATCAATTTTAGATTAATGCAATTATTATTTGAAACTGCAAGAGCCTTTTTCATGAGGATGAGCAAAGTCCTTAATAGAGTCCTTAATACAAGTATCATGCAATGCTATATTTGGCCTGTCATACTATATGGATGTGAATCTTGGACTATGAAAGAAGATTTCTGTAAGAAACTTGAACCATTTGAAATGTGAATGTATTGCAGTATGCTCCGAATAAGTTGGACAGACAAAATTACCAACATTGAGGTCCTCAAGCAGATGAAAAGGAATAAGCCCCTACTTGTAAAAACCATCAAACAGAGAAAAGTTGCGTACCTAGGACATGTGCTAAGGCATGAACTTTACCAACTGCTGCAGACTATTATGATGGGCAAAGTAGCGGGTAAAAGAAGTGTTGGTAGAAGGAAAATGTCCTGGCTCTGTAACATCCAGAAATGGAACGGGATAAAGAAAGTAGAAAAAAATTTTGGAGGATGAGTGCCGACCTTCAGTAATGGAGAGGCACTTGAAGAAGAAGAGGAATTATTATTTGCTAAAAATCATTTGAAAGATCAATGATTTACTAGTATTTTAATGTATTTTCAGTAGGTATATTTGCTTTTATCTACATTTGACATCCTGCTACTCATACATATTACTAATCGAATTTAGAATAGAAAGGAATAGAATAATTTGTATTCAATATTTATTATAAGAATACTTATACTGATTCGTAAAAAAACCTCCATCCTCAGTAGAACCAGCAAGAAACCCGGTGGGACTTTTTCTTTTGCTGTACTAAGATAAGATAACGACAGACTGTTTTCCGCAACTCCATGTCCAAGCCCGTATTTTGCATAAAAGCAGGAATAATGCAATTATTCTAGCCACAAAATCTCCAAAGACGTACAATGGTCCTTGATGTTGTGAGCAACTTTGAGGAGTGATCCCGGCATGCCGAGATATGCAGCGACCTCCGGACATGTCAGCCACTCGTGGGCCGGCATTCCATCCTCCTCCGTATATGCCCTGCACATTGGACAATCTGTAACACCTATGGTAAATCAATGTTTGTCAAAGGAGCTATGTCCTGTGATAGTACTTGTTACTATTCTGATCTTTGGCT